GGTCACAGAGTTAAGTTTTCGACCGTCGAAACAAAAGCGCTTCTCACCGTTTGTTTTATTTACCAATAAAACAGGAGAGGACCAAGGACTCGATGAAGGCCGCACAACTCCCAACTCCAACATCTTGTCTAGTTCCCGATTGAGGTGAACCAGCATGTAAGTTGAGATCTGATGATGACGTTGCTTAATTGGTCGCGCATTACCAGTATCTATAAAATGAACGGTTCGTGTGGTTCTTCCCAATTTCGTACCTTTTTCCCACGATAACTCATAGAAGAGATTTTTGACCTTCTGAAGCTCTGCCATTTGAGACGGATTTAAGTCCTGTAGTGAACGAATACCTTGCATCGCCGCCACTACGATATCATCTTTGAGCCGTACAGCTAAAAGAAGAAAAATCAATCGCTAAGCCAAACTGACGGCAAAAATCACTGCCAAAAATAACTGAGTGTTTGAGAGATGGAACTACCCAAAACTTAATCGTACGCGAGATACCATCGACAGTAACCGGAAAATATACATACCCCACTACCTGCTGTTGTACACCATCAGCAGTCCCTACAGTGGATTCCTCCGATTCATAAATGGATAGATTTAGATGATCTAACAAACCAAGTCCTTCCCCACCAACGATAGAATGAGTCGCGCCGCTGTCCAGTAGTCCTGTAATTGAATTTCCCAAAACTTCTACTGCCAAATAAGGTCGATTATCATGAGATGTCTCTACAAGTAAAGTATTAATTGTTTCCTTCCCTGAAACTAATCGCTGTGAACACGTAGTTTGGCTAGGGGCCTTAGGAAAGTAACGAAAGCGGTGGCCCGATGGTAAGCGCTTTCCCCCACTTAGTTTTCCGGCCTACACCGTGGGCAGTTAGGGTGGATGACACCTACTTTTCCACAGCCAGCACAAGTAGGTTTTTTCGGGGTTTTATTAGAACATTCACGCCGAAAATGACCCGGTTTCCGACATGCATAACATGTCAATTCACTTTTTTGGTGTGGAGAAGAAATGTTAGAGGTATTACGAAATTGAGGGGTCGAGAATAACTTATTTTCTTGGTTATCCCCGTCTGGACAAGCTAAATCGGGTTCTAGCAGAGCGATGTTTCGCCGCGGAGGTGGTCGAAATTTTTCCTGATTGGCTAAAACGCTTTCCAGGGTCCTACAGATATCCGACAACTGAGTAAACGTTTTAATGTCGTGCAAAGCGAGGTGGGTTTGGAAAACCGGTAAGAGATTACGACGAATTATATGCAATTGGGAAATTTCAGGTGGAATATCCGACAACCGATTAAATAAATTGCGCATAGTCGCCAGATACAAAACAACTGACTCACGAGATCCCTGCGTTCGATTATGAATTTCCTTAAGAAGTTCCTGATCATAATCTGGCGGCAAAAAATCTCGCTTTAAAGCCTGAATCAGCTGATCCCACGAACTGACTGATGGTTTTATCGATCTATACCACAAAAGTGCCTTTCCATCGAATAAATCTACAGCGGACCTAAATAATTCCGCTTTTGAGGTATTTCGAGCCACTCACAATTCCTCTATCCGTTGTAAAAACCCATTGACCGAATCATGCTGAGACTTACCATCAAAAGTTACATTCCACTTGTGTACCGGAGTAGGCTTAAGGATCGTAGTGTTCTGGTTGACTCCCGCCGGACTCGCGGTCGCATCATCTGGAGGTAGAGAGGTTTGTTCCACCATTTCATACCTGGTTTCATCCAATGCTTCCGCCATCGCCATTTGATCATGTTTGAATTCTTGCACAGCTACGGGCGCCGTCGCTGGGAATCGATGTAAGCGACCCATTACATGATAGTACTTGGTGAGAAGTCTCCTGTTCCCATCCCCCCGTCGACCATCAAAAGAATCCAACAAGGCTCGGATATCACTTAGTGTTGTTTCAACCTCCGTTTTTTCCGCCTCAAAATCGAAATTGGGATTAGCATACATGACTTCACCACGATTCAAATCTTCTCGTAATCTCCGTCGCAGCTGTTTACGCTTTGTATCTAGATCTAAGCGATCGGGCGTAACCCCCCGCACTTTTAACTAGTGATTAACTTCGCTCGATTTCAAAAAATTTGGTTCCATATTAAAATAGGATCCTGCCATCATAAACGCAGTTTAAAGGACTCTACGAAACGTTGGGCGCCAAAAATTATGTAACCTACTTACAGGATTTCAAATAAATGCTACTGTATTGTTACCTCACGAAGTGGGTTTCAACCGGAGCCCAATAAAACTACGTTTACGACTAATTATATTATTAAAGGTATTACATACGATAAGCCAATCACTGTTAAAATATGCGGAAGGGCACCTCTTCTCTCCCCAGCGTAGGCGGCGGAGGCTCCTGACTCTTCCTTCGGTTCTCAGGTCCCTTCTCTTCCCGAAAATCTTCCTTCAAAAGCCCCCGAACTTGATTCTCTTCCTCCCGAGCTCCGAGCTCGCCCCTGCCCAGCTATCTCCCCCCTTGTTCTTATCTCTCTTTTTCTCCTCGTTTTTTCCCGTAGCTCGCACCAACACTACGCGTGATAGATGCCCCACCACTTCGAATGCAAATCAATTCAAAATTAAATAAAAATCCGTTACAAGCTCGAAAGTTTGCCGAATAAATCATATCTAAAATGTACAAAATATGATGAGCCTGTACTTGTCATTTATCACTCCATTCATATTTTTTGGATTTGCATATACAGAGCGACTCAAAAAAATTAATGAATGCGTAAATATATTTTATTGATTTAATCAGGAACTACAAAACGGAATGCTCTGACATCTTGCAGATGCTTTAAGGTTATAAAGAGCATAATAAATGTTTAGTCAAAATATATTTGCTTATCCCCTCCAAAAACTTGATGACGTCAGCTCGAAAATTTGCCGAATAAATCATATCTAAAATGTACAAAATATGATCAGTCTGTACTTGTGATCTATCACTCCATTCATATTTTTTGGATTTGCATATACAGGGTGATTCAAGAAAATAAATGAAAGCGTAAATTTATTTTACTGATTTACTCAGGAACTACAAAACCGAATGCTTCGAAATCTTGAAGATATTTTAAAATTATCATAAGCATGGTAAATTTTTGATCAAAACGTATTTGGTCGTCCCCCCTAAAAAATTTATGATGTCACCACAAAATTTTGATGAATAAATCCTATCTAAAATGTACAAAATATGGTGAGTCTCTTCTTGTGATTTATCATTCCATTCAAATTTTTTCGATTTGCATATACAGGGTGACTCAAAAAAATTAATGAATGCGTAAATTTATTTTATTGATTTAATCAGGAACTACAAAACCGAATGCTTTGAAATCTTGCAGATGTTGTAAGGTTATAAAGAGCATAATAAATTTTTAGTCAAAATATATTTGGTTATCTTCTACAAAAAACTGATGACGTCAGCTCAAAAGTTTGCCGAATAAATCGTATCTAAAATGTACAAAATATGATGAGTCTGTACTTGTGATTTATCATTCCATTCATATTTTTGGATTTGCATATGCAGGGTGACTCAAAAAAATTAATGAAGGCGTGAATTTATTTTATCGATTTAATCAGGAATTACAAAACCGAATGCTTTGAAATCTTGGGAATATTTTAAAGTTATTATAAGCATGGTAAACTTTTGTTCAAAGTGTATTTGTTCATCCCTCCTAAAAAAATTGATGACGTCACCCTTAAATTTTGCTGAATAAATCCTACCTAAAATGCAAAAAATATGATGAGTTTGTACTTGTGATTTATCATTCCATTCATATTTTTTAGATTTTCTTAAGAGGTGGTTCAAAAAAATTAATGAAGTCAATTTATTTTATTGATTAAATTAAAGGCAACACTTATTATTAGTATTACACCCCAACCAACCCAATTTGGTAGACACAAAATTTGTTAAAGGAAAAACTCGGTTGAAACATAAGAGTAGCACGCTTATTTACATCGACTTTAACATTACAGACCTGCATTTGTTTTATGCGGTCACTTGGTTCCGCGAATGCGAAATAGACATGTTTATAATCAACCAATTGTGAATTTCACCGTCAAGAATTAAAATAAAACGCAATGTTTTATATAATAAGCGGAAGTCGAAGCAATAAAACCGATGGTCGTTTTGTTTACAGTTTCTCTGTTTGGCTCTCACGTATGCTGTTACGCTTGTCATCTTAAATTAAGAATGTTTATACATAAACGATTTTCAGTTGCCCCTCATATTACTAGACAGCGGATTTCTGTCGGGCTACGTCACGATTATAGGGGGGGACGTGCTGGATTCCATAAATATAATTAACGATTTATTAATCAAACGGCTAAGTAAATGAGAACGGGAATTAACAGCAGAGTGCAACGAAACAACGTTATTCTAATCTCAAATAAACGAAGTGCAGTCCGCAACGGCAATGAATTCGCATCGCGTGCGAGCCGTACCGAGTTTGGCCTTGCCTAGCCCGACAGAAATCCGCTCTCTAGATATTACACACCGGCGCCGTATACGTGAGTAAATTGTTTCGTTATTTTATTGATTATAAGAAATCAATATTCAAAACGACCCAATTCATTTTCCCGAAAATTTGGGAACACAATAATTTTATTCTTAGTATTACACTACATCTATCCCAACTGATATACGTGTCCTTGCAAAAATGTTGATGACGTCATCACAATTTTTTTTTAAATTCCCACTACAAAAATGTAATGAGAAAAAAAAACATAATAGGCATGCAGTCGTCAAGTTTTCGACAGCGAGGGAAGTACTGTCTAAACTCTTTAGACCAATTTTTTATTTCTTAGTTTATAAGTTGTAATTGTCATTTTTAACATGTCGCATATTTTTTAGATGAAAGTCCAAGCAGAGGTAAGATATAAATTCTGCAATCTGACAGGTACTGCATCACGAATCCTAAAATAAATCATTTCAACGTTTTATATGGATGTTTTATCATGTTCCACGAGTAGGCATACGTGCTAATATTTGAACAAAATTTCATCTATATAAATCCGCTCTTTATTTATTAGACTAAAATATATCACAAAGAATCATAATTTACAATTAAAATTTAACTAATTATTTACGGGTTTTACGTGAATCTTTAAAGGTTTTGCCATCCCATGTAGCGTTGTTGTATAAAACACCATATCTTCGTGCGGCCATTGTAGTTCAAAATTTCGAATAATCTACAAAGATTGCAAATAAGAACAATTTTAAAATGTTGAAAACGCTACCTTCAATAGCGCAGTTTCTAACTCCAAATTAGCAAATCTCTTGCCAATGCAGCTTCTTGCACCAAACCCAAAGGGTGCAAAAACGAAAGGGTTCGTATTTTTATGCGAGAATTCTCCAGTTGTTGTTTTAAGCCAACGTTCTGGCAAGAATTCTTTAGCCTTTGGGAAATGCTCCTCTTGTTGAGAAAGCATCAAAGTAGAAGTTAAAACGTCTGTCTGCAATTACAAAATTAAATAAACGCTGAATAATACAGTACTCAGATTACCCCGGAAGGTACTTGATATCCACCCAAGACTAAATCTTTTTTGGTTGTTCTTAGATTTCCAATAGCAATAGGTGATAACCTGGTGGTTTCTTTTACAACAGCTTTGGTGTAGACATTCTTACTTAAAGTTTCTTTAGTAACAGGTGCATCTTTAACTTTTAGTAGATTGTTAGCTTCAGATCTCAGTAGTTCTTGTTTATCGGGGTTTTTAGCCAAGTAGTACAAAGCTGCTGCTAGAACTCTACCAGTCTGAAAATGACACACTTTGAATTTATAACTTCTAATAAAATTAGTTAATATGTACTGTATCAACTCCCGCAATCATCATATCGACAGACATTGCAGTTGCCGTATTTCGATCTATCTGTATCATTTGGTGAAGCGCACTAGTTATTTGGTTGTTATCAATTTCCCCCTTTTCGATTTTCTCGATGTATCTGTTAATATGCTTCAGATTCGTTCTGAAAGAAACAACCTAATACACAAAACATTTTACTTTAGAGACGTACTTTAACATGAAGTCTAAAACTTGAACGTACTCCTTCCAAGATGGAGTGCTTATGTACTTCCACACAGAAGGCATAACGTCTAGTTTGTACATGAGTTGAAACATCCTTAACACACTGTAGATTAGCTTTTGGGCTTCTTCGTTCACACTGCCTCGCTTCAAACAACCTAAAACACAGTTTGGTTACGAAGAACCACAATCGGTGAAAAGTACCCAAGTGTGTGTCCATAGTGACGACACCAATTGATTCCAAAGACCATTTGTACAGTTCATTGTGGAAGTCATCAGGCATCTGTCCTTGCTCATTCTCTTCAGACAAATACTTAATGTTGTCGACTAGCTCGTCAGCGACGAAGTTCATTTTGTCCGCATAGTGAATGACGTTTTTTGGTTGCATTAGAATTGGGTTTACTACGGTTCTAAATTTGAACCACTCTTCACCTTGGCTGAAATTGTGTTAACATTTTAAGGAAATTTTGTGGAAAATAATTTGGTGTTTAAATTCTTGGTTTTTGAGTGAACTTACAGACATATTAATCCACCACTTGACAGGATATTTTTTCTTAATTTCCTGTAGTGTGCAAAGGATGGAAGTCCGTGTCTTGTTGGCCAAACGCCTTCGTTTCGATGTAACTAGAATCGGTTAGTTGTGAGTTTTTTATTATACTTATACGTTAATAGAATTTTACCTTTTCTATGTCTGATGGATTAAATAATACGACTATTGGCTGAAGACCCACTAGTCCTTTCATAATGGTTATATCTCCGTACTGTTGTCTCATTCTAAAAAAAAATGGAATACATTTTCCTACTAGATTTTGACTATGAGAAGTAACGAGTAACATTACCACACTAGTAAAATAATCTAGATGATTCTCTTCAAATGTGTTGCCGTGTTCATTTTGTAAAACAAAAATGTAAGGAGAGTAGTTACTCTCTCAGTTGAGTTAGAGAGAGCGAGAAAGATTAATAATATGATACATATAAACAATAAACAGACGAACAAAATTTAGTTTTTTAATAAAAGTCACAAGTAAGTGAATCAATTTTATGACATGAAATGGTTCGTAAATATGCACCATATTTGTAAATAAAATGTAATGGTTCCCAAAAATAATTCGTTTTGCATAATGTCATTTTGAAGTAAACTACGTAGCTTACTCAAATTTATTTCTATAGTCGGCGGCAATGGTTTCATCAGATTTTATTCCGGCGGTCTGTAGAAATCTTCTGCGTAAATCTATAATATGTATATTTTTACTTCTTGAGCGTAAGTTAAAAAGAAAAAACGGGTCTCTAGTTTTAGTCCGTCTGTCTGTTGGCCGTCCGTGTAGATTTTTGTTAGACAGATAATCTCCGAAATTACTGAACCTATTGTTGTCAAAATTTTTTATGTGTTTTATGTGCAGATGGTAAAACTAACCAAACTTTGTCCCCACCCATAATGTGATGACGTCACCTCAAAATTGTCCATAGCAAATGGGTTTTAAATTGTATAAAATAGCATAGTCCTACACGTGTAGTTTATGAATTTGTGTTGAGTTTTGACCCGAAACGTTCAGATTTTTGGAAACAAAAAAACATTTTGCAAATTAATTTAGAACTGTGATTTTGAATCTACAAAACCGTTTGCTTTGAAATCTTGTACATCTTTTAAAGTTACCATAAGCATGATAAATTTTTAATCAAAATATATTTGCTTATCCCTCCTAAAAAATTTTACCGAATGTATCCTATTTAAAATGTGCAAAATATGATGAGTTTATCCTTGTGACTAATTATTCCATTCATATTTTTAAGATTTGCTTATACAGAGTGACTTAAAAAAATAATGAATGAGTCAATTTATTTTATTGATCAATTCAGGAACTGCAAAACCGAATGCTTTAAAATCTTGTAAACGTTTTGAGTTATTGTAAGCATGGTAATCAAAATGTATACTAAAAACGTTCAATTTTTATACAATGAAATTTTACAATGTCATTACGAGGGGTTGGCTAAGCTGTTCACACACTGAGTGTTCCACCGGCTTGGAATACGTCGCTTTTTTTCAACCTGAAGAAGGGTAGCTAAGAACCGCTCGGATTACTGGTCTTATATTTGTCCGGTTTTAAAATTGCAATTTATGGTGGGTATGGACCACTGTGAAGTTAACTGGCATAAACCATCATAAAATTCTACTGTATACAAAAGGAACGTTATCCCCAAAAAAAAATTGAAGACGTCATCACAAAATTTTGTAAAGCAAAAACTCATTTCAAACATATGTGTAACACGCTTCTTTACATTTACATTAATATTACATACATATGTTTATTTGAACATACAGGAGTCCTTATAAAAAATAAATAGAATCGCAATATCAAACAACCTTCGAACATTTTTTAATTACGGTGTATTAAAAAAATAATAATAAAGTGACTTCATTTCGGACCATGTGAGGAGTACGAGAATCTGTACCATTAGAAGTTCCCTCAAACCTTTAAGGCGTTTATGGCTTTGACGTTTAAAGTACTTTACAGCCGACCTTTCATAAAACTTAGTAAATCATCACATCAGTTTAACTGTTTGTTCTTTGTCATGTTTTGGAATAGTTAATAAAAAATTTGTTACATAATCTTTTTAAATTTAAACAATAAATAATACATTTTGTTATCTTGTATGGAGATTAATTATTTATGTTTAAGTACTCTTGCACTTATTATGTTTATTTGTAGTACTTGAGCACTCGACTTTCATCATTGTGTTTACGTTTGTAAAGAAAACTACTACATGTTTTGTAATTAATTTCGGGAGTACCAAATTAACTGTTAGTTTGCAAAAATATTATGTAGTTACTAGCTGACCCGGAAAACCTTGTTTTGCCATACATATAAATTATTTCTAGTGAATAATGATAGTTAAATAAAAAATAAAATTAAAATAAATAAATAAATTATAATTAAAATTATACATAAAAATTTATCGTACGAGAATGATTATATTCAACAACCATCTTGCAACCCTATTGCGCACCTCTGGAGATACTAATATCGTTATTAAAAAATGGGGGTTCGTGGTAGAAGGGCGAAAATTTAGAGTTATATGTATTTTTTGATACCAAATCTTAAAAAAATAAAAATAAAAATTGTGTCCAAAAAATCAACAAACAATTTTTTGAGTGGCCCACCCTTATCACTTAGGGGTACAAAAAATAGTTTACGACCTATTCTCAGACCTACTGAATATACACAACAAATTTCATAAAAATCGGTCAAGCCGTTTGGAAGGAGTTCGATTACGAACACTGTGACACGAGAATTTTATATATTAGAAGATATTAAGAAACAGCCATTAATGTTCTTTAGCATACGTCATGTATAAGAGAAATTTACCAACGAAAATTACTTTGGTTAAATTGCAAAAAATGTAATTTGTCTGTGTAAATCTAATCAAATTTGAACATTTATTTTCGTTTATTTATTATATTACTTTGTGTCTATGAACAATAGGTAACCGCAGCTTTCTATGACGTCATAGCAATATTCACGTCACCAGGGATGTAAGAAGTGTGGACTGTTTACGGGATATTCCACTAAAAGTTAATGTATCTGAAGTACCTATTTTTTGTCCGATGATGCTAGGAATTAAATTTATTAAGAATCACCAGTTGTTGCAAAAATTTGTATTTTAAAATCAGTGTATTAGTACTTAAGTGGTTAATCACGGTCAACGAAAATTCTTTTGGATGCTGGTAGGTATTGATTCAATTTTCGGTTTTATTTGCAAAAAATATGTTTATTCGAATTAGTTAGTCAGACTTATATTGCAATATTCTACTAAAAGATTGTACAAGTGCATATATGTAGAGTAGAAACACTATGAGAAGAACACGTTGTGTTCACCATCTGTCGAAAGATTATTAGGTTAAACCACGACGAAGGAATTATATAACAAAACGACGAAAGTCGCTGACGATACGATCTACAGATTCTTCCTTGTAAAATCGCATGTGGACCAATTCGGACCAGTTTCGGAAAGTCTACTGAGTTGTTTATTTGATTTATGTTTAGGTTAAGATTTTAACGCCTTACTTTGTTGTTGTGCGATTAACGACAGATTTGTTTTGGTTGGTCTTGAAAAAACTTTTTTCAAGATTACTGAATCACTGTCTAAAGATTGATGGGTGCAATTGCTTTGATATTTTTTCTTCGCTTTAGACAGTTTTTCAGTATGATGCAGCCAATTAAAGAAATGAATGATGGATTTTAGTTTGAATTAACATTTCTTGATAAAAATTCGTATTAAACTGAGTATCTGTGTTTTTTTTTAATTAATTTAATACTGATATGGTTTTACTAATTTCATCCAAGCTACGATAGTCACAACAACCAAACTTTCTTGAATTGTTCAACTAATTAAAAATATAAGCAACCTTGTTCATACATATTAGAAAAAAATTGCTTATTCCGAGTAGCTGTGATAAGCTGATAAGTACCTACATCAAAAAGGTGTTTTGTTTCTGTATTTTAATCTAAAAAGAAACTCCTTTTAGATTACAAACACCATAAATTGTAATATATCAAGGCGAATTAATTATACATATGTGAAATACTTACAGCACAAAAATAATATTTTGTAGTACAAAAATAACAAATATGATCATACTTATAAACAAGTGGGATTTCAGTGACCATTTAGAGTAAACGATATTTTTTTCTAAAGTGCAACATCTGCTTTACAAAAGTACTTTTAATGTTAGATTTAATGAAAGTTTAGTGAAAAATACCCTCTGTTACGCTTACTGTTTATGTATTTGCAAGATATCCATGCCATAAAAATTTCCAACTTTCGGGAGAAGAAATCTCCATGTGTTTCCCACAAGAGGCAGAGGTTTAGGTCCTGGAATTTCCTCGAAAGCTTTCGCCTGCTCCCAATCAAAGGGTTTCGTGTCGTTGTTTTCCAAAGCGTTCAAATTTCTGTAATGTTGAAGTTTTTTGTCGCTCAAAGCCTCCACGAATTCAGTCTGTGTGCTCATTAGCAGCTTCATTGGATTATTTTTGAGGGTGGCGGCAAATAATCTTTTTGTATTCATTTTTGTGAGCATCTGTGATAACTTCGGTGAGGTGTAAACCAAAATAAAATTTTCACTCTTACCTTTTCAAACACGTGCCCGCATGTAGTGGAGATAAGTATTTAGATGTGTCGTTGTATTTTTCATTCAGAATGGTCGGCAATCATAACAAGGTTAATGTTAACTACGATGACGAGCAATTGATTACGAACAATAAAGCTGCGCGTTGGTGTGTCATGGAGAGAATTGCCACATACCATCAGACGTCATTATCCTTTACGTGCATTTTATCTAATGGTGACCATTAAAGTCGTGAATTAAAAGAAACCATCTGTTATGGAGAAACTATCAAAACTATTACAGGTTATCAAGAACGTTATCTTATCAAATTTTAGAATAAACTTATTTATTAGAACCAACAAATCTTGACTTGCAAAACTTATCTAAGTTGCCAAATAAAAAAGATGTATGAATAAACTGACATACTTTTGAAATTTGTCTATCAATATTTGATAATTTTTTAAAATTCAAAACAATTGGCAATTTTGGAATTACAAAAAATCATTTTGACAATTTAAAGAACTCTTAAGAATGCAATACACTTGATTTCTTCGAAATTTTTAACTTTGTTTTTCCGTTTTTTCAGTTGAAATATTGGTTTTTATTTCGAGAGGAGAGAAGAAAAGAAGAAACAATCACGCCTGTATATTCCTCTGGTTTCACCACTGTTGAACCTTAAATTTACATTTTTCTTTCGTTATCTTTTCTTCTTCCTTTTGTTCATTGAGAGTAGATTTATAAGGAAATAAACAGCTGCATTTCACAATAATTATGTTGATCACATTTTTCTTTTTGTTTTGGTAATACAGTCACTGTCATTTAGTTTAAATTATAGTGAATTTGAACTAAGAAAAAATAAAAATGATTTTTAGTTTTTATAAGAAATTGCATTTGAAACAAAATGATTTCATTATGACTTTTAATGATTCATTCGGGTTTATGGTTTCGCAGATTTATCCTTTTGTGGCTTTTTGGCTTCCTGTTAATGAAATATTACTTATTTTAGTGGGAAAAAAAAACAAACAAAAACGATGATTTTTTTCCTAAAATGAGACTGAATTTGATTTTACACTGTTTTCAGAAATGATTTTAAAAAATCGATATTATCAAAAGATTATGAGTTGATTAGCTTTAACTTAAACTAAAAATGAAAAAACAAAAACTTTTTAATTAATTTATATTTTGCACAGAATTGTTGAAACCCACTCATTAGTACTAAAAAGATTTTTGACTTAAATAGATCAAAGAATACGTGTTAAATAATAATACAAAAAAATTGGTCTAAAGAGTTTAGACAGTACTTCCCTCGCTGTCGGAAACTTGACGACTGCATGCCTATATATATATTTTGACTAAAAATTTATTATGCTCTTTATAACCTTAAAACATCTGCAAGATTTCAAAGCATTCGGTTTTGTAGTTCCTGATTAAATCAATAAAATAAATTTACGCATTTATTAATTTTTTTGAGTCACCCTGTATATGCAAATCGAAAAAATTTGAATGGAATGATAAATCACAAGAAGAGACTCACCATATTTTGTACATTTTAGATAGGATTTATTCAGCAAAATTTTGTGGTGACGTCATAAATTTTTTAGGGGGGACGACCAAATACATTTTGATCAAAAATTTACCATGCTTATGATAATTTTAAAATATCTTCAAGATTTCGAAGCATTCGGTTTTGTAGTTCCTGAGTAAATCAGTAAAATAAATTTACGCTTTCATTTATTTTCTTGAATCACCCTGTATATGCAAATCCAAAAAATATGAATGGAGTGATAGATCACAAGTACAGACTGATCATACTTTGTACATTTTAGATATGATTTATTCGGCAAATTTTCGAGCTGACGTCATCAAGTTTTTGGAGGGGATAACAAATATATTTTGACTAAACATTTATTATGCTCTTTATAACCTTAAAACATCTGCAAGATGTCAGAGCATTCCGTTTTGTAGTTCCTGATTAAATCAATAAAATATATTTACGCATTCATTAATTTTTTTGAGTCACTCTGTATATGCAAATCCAAAAAATATGAATGGAGTGATAAATGACAAGTACAGACTCATCATATTTTTGTACATTTTAGATATGATTTATTCGGCAAACTTTCGAGCTGACGTCATCAAGTTTTTGGAGGGGATAAGCAAATATATTTTGACTAAACATTTATTATGCTCTTTATGACCTTAAAACATCTGCAAGATTTCAGAGCATTCGGTTTTGTAGTTCCTGATTAAATCAATAAAATATATTTACGCATTCATTAATTTTTTTAAGTCACCCTGTATATGCTAATCCAAAAAACATGAATGAAGTGATAAATTACAAGTACAGACTCATCATATTTTGTACATTTTAGATATGATTTATTCCACAAACTTTTGAGCTGACGTCATCAAGTTTTTGGAGGGGATAAGCAAATATTTTTTGACTAAAGATTTATGATGCTCTTTATAGCCTTAAAACATCTGCAACATTTCAAAGCATTCTGGTTAGCAGATTAAAAATTAAATTTCAAAATGTTGTTTTATAATTTTGATTTTTTTTCCAAAAATCTGGACGTTTCGGGTGAAAAGTCGATTCAGAGTTGTAAACTACATGTGTAGGACTATGTTATTTTATACAATTGAAAACCCATTTACTATGTACAATTTTGAAGTGACGTCATCGCATTAGTGGTGGGGATGATTAGACAAATTTTGGTTAGCGTTTTACCATCTACATGATATTCTTAATATAAGTACAAAATTTCACAACAATCGGTCGAGTACTTTCGGAGATTATCTGTCTAATAAAAATCCGGGACGGCAGACGGACAGACGGACAGACGGACAGACGGACAGACGGACAGACGGACGGACAGACGGACGGACAGACAGACGGAAATGGGAGACCTATTTCTGCGTCTTCTAGGGGTCATGAAAGATCGAGAAAACGTAAAAGTAGAGAGTCGGCCGACGGACTCGATTACAATACTTCCTTTGCTTACGCTCGGGAAGTAAAAATGCTCGAAAATTTTGTGAATATTGTAATAGGTATTCAAAAATTTCCAAATTTTTCATCTAAATATTTTACGATTACATTTACAATTTCATAAATTCTGGTATCACTTTAAGGCGCTTTAGTTGAAAGGTGTAAATGCTACAAAATTATTATTACTTCCCGAGAGTAAGCGAAAAAAGTATTTTTTAATTGCTTCTTGTTCTGATTTTTATGTTACGCGAATTAATTAACACTCTTTATTTTGTTTACTAACGCTAACCATAATTCACTTAATCGTTGTACAAGTTGTTATCTAGACGTTTCAAAAATATTTGGCTATTTTGCAATTAATGTCTAGAGATACAATCGTTAATAGTGTGTTTATGGATTAAAGTCGACGATTAGAACACCATAATAAATAAAATATTTTATTCTGATTACCGATTTTATCTGAGAAGCTTAAAATTTTTGGACCGTTTTCAAATTAAAAATAAAAAAAAAAAATGAAACGATTTTGTTCAGACCCCAAAAAAGGTGTTTTACAGGGTTATCCGAACAACTGACAGGTTTAGGTCTACGTGAAATAAAACTGGTTATGTATATTTCCTAAGTAATACGAAAGATTACGTATTGATAAGAATTGTGTAACTTTTTTAACGAAAAGTGTGTTTACTACTTTTGGAGGCGATAGTTAAAAATGTTTGGGTTTTTTCCATAAGTTTGTCTAATCTTGGGAGATTCATTTACTGTTTCAGAATTGAATCGCCTATATAAAGGTACCCTTACTATTAGAAATAATAGCGTCAAAATAATAATATTTTTTAAATTCCTTTAATATATAAGTATATGTTTGCGCAATATACTGCATGAAATGACTTTTGTTTATCTTTGTAAAGTAGTAATCAGCATAAAAACCATTTACTTCTAACTGTATAACACCAGTAGTATAAGCAAGTATATAGAGTTGCATAAACAATATAAAAGGTCGCTAATTTATTGGTACTGTATCGTGCTATCTATTTAAGGCCGGATTGTGATGGTTTGACTGTATTATTTTAGTTTTTCATTATTAAATCAGGAATTAAAATTAGACTGCGCACTTTAACATATGAAATTAAGTAGGACATGCAAATACCATATCAATTATAAAAAAAATAAACCATTTTTGATATTTAATGAATTGGATAAAAATCAGAAAGGAAGAGATTGAAAAAAATCTTACTGTCACTAGTTCATTTCGCTAGTAAATACAAAAAGAAGGAACCAACCATATTCACTTAACGAGATTCCGGCTTTGCATGAGTTGCACACATTCTTGCGTGCTGTACCTATCTGTTTTGTAATGGGTTTACAGTGCCGCTGCTGATTACTCTTTCTTGTAGACAGATATTGTTATCTAATTGAGTTACTAACGGTTCCTCACTAGAAGAGACAGTTGTTGCAGTTCATTCTTTTCGTTTCAGTTTCAGTACATACGTATATATATTTACTTTTCTTTAACGCAGTTCTCAATAAACACGATAATCAGGTTTCATCGAATAGGTACTCGTAAATGTTCGATTAATGTAAAAACTAATAAATCTAGAGTAATATAGGTACAAACATATGTAGAACTAAATTTAATACTTTGTACTTTTTTCTTCAAGATTTAGTAGATAAAAATCAAGAAAATAGTAACTTAAATATTCCATTCTTTTATAGACTCATTTTACTGTTCAGATGCTTTGAAATTTTTATTATTTAGTTTAAAATATTATATCAAGTCAAGTACGTTAGTACTTCTTACTTCTATAAAGTAAAACATTATCTGCTCACATAATCACATCTCTAGTGATAACAAGTATATCTGCTCTTTAAACAACCAGTTATTTATTTCCCCAATAAAATATTTTAAAATGAATTGTGTTTTATTTCATTCCATAAATCTTCAGCTAAAAATCGATAAACCAAACAGATAACTTTGCGCAAAACCAACAGATCAATTTGAATCTCCCGCTACACATGGGACACAATTCAAACTTCCCGCTCAAATGTGCTCTTCATGGGCACCACATAACAATAGCGTGATTAACAGCTTGTCTTCTTGTACCATGATATTAATAATAACAGTATTGTATTCCTTAATTTTCGAGAAGGTTATCTTAAAAATAATTCAACTCTTTGTAATGTTAATGATAAAAAATAAACAAATTACTTTAACAAAATTCCTCCACAATAAATTGGGAAAATATTACATTTATTTATGTTATTAATAAAAAGTGCTGTTGTTTTAGGTAGTACAATTAAGATCCATTGCACTTAGGGTAAGGTCTACCTTGTGATGGATGACTCGATTGTAATCAATATTGATCACCTAATATATTGCACACTTCAAAATTAGGGAGGATATACGTGACTGTTTTAGAAACGATGAAAATTTGAACAGAAAAATTAATTGCTAAATTTTATGTACCCTATTTTGTTTAAGAATTCATAAAATTGACATATTGAAAAAAAAATACAAATTAAAGGGAGAAAACGAATAACTTGCATAAAAATAAATGGATATTTTTTTGAGCTATTTTGTGATTTAATGTGACGTTTGTTATTTGCTGACGAAGAAGACACGGTACCAGAGCATCACGATCTTGCATACAGTGGTGTAGTGAAATGAAGCACTTCTTTTTTTTTGACACCCTGTACAAGTAATTATGAAAAATGCGAGTTTTAAGGTTTTACGGTTCTTTTACAATTGTTTGTCAAAATTTTGAGATGAGAGGAATAAACATTTGGTGGGGGTGTAGACACAAATTCTGGTTAGCGATGTTGATAATGACCTTAAAACGTGTGCAACAGTTCAGGCTTTTGGTTTTGTAGTTCTTAAATAAAATTGTAAAGATTTGTTTTACAATTTTGATTGTTCCTTTAGCCAAAAATTTGCGTCATTTAGCATATAATTATTGTGAAAACACAGTAAGTTTTTGTCGTCATATAAGTGTTCGGGACAAAAAAAAAAAAAAACGTATTAGCTATTCAACAATGAAAAAAATCTGTCGCTATGTTTAGAAAATACAAGTTGACATGCAACCGAAAAACTACTCATCTTACCCTACTTTCTCTAAGAAAAATCAGATGGGACTCTATGAAATTGAGCCTAATTCTTAATTTTAAACACAACTCCTCCCTTGATGCCAAAACATTGAATTTAGTTGTTAATGGCTCAAGTAAAAAGTTTCTTATTGAAAAACAAAGTGTTTTATAATGATTGAAAAAAAAACAATATTTCCTCTACAAAGCTAATCAGTCAATCCAGTAAAACTATCACAGATTCTTTAATACTCTAATTGGAGCTAAATCTCCTGAGCATCTATATTTAACCGATTTAAATCACTCGATTGCTATCAAGACGCTCCACCAGATGAAGCTATGCAAGTCCCGTTAAGCGTAACGAGTCCTCCAGGTGTATGTACAAGACATGGTAATCGGGACTGACCAACAGTTCTTCGCGCCACACCGCAGTGTTCATTGCGCTATCAACAATAACACAGGGTGTTAGAAGTAACCGTGCTGCGATCGAATGTTGTGAATCGTTCCTCTGAATCGCACGAAACGTTAACTATCTACAAAAAGATGAAGACCCAGTGGAGGACTATAGCCGTAAGTGATTAATGCTTTGTGTTATTATTATCATTATTTTTAATAAACACATTTAAATATTTTTCTGAATTAGCGTAATTGAGGAAATCGTTTCGGCTTAATTATTAGTATTAACGTAATGATGACTTTCTAGGGCAGAGGTTGTTAAAATTTATGCTTGCTCTTCGTGCAAAAATTTTTCTTACGGTTTTTCTACCTCGAGCGCGAACGTTTCGTTTAGAAACTATCGGTTCTCAGGTGTTCCAGCTTCTTCCGGTTTCAGATCTAGTATCTGTTTTTCTTGTTACATAAAATACGGAAGTTTCTCGACTATTAATCTACAACTGCTATTTACCTTTTTTCTCGAAAAACCTGCACTTTATGAAGTTAATAGACAATAAAAATGCAATTGGTTGCAATCTATCAGTCCGACACAGTTATGCAATATGAAATCGGTCTTAGTGCAAATAATTAACAATATGATTTCTAGTCACACTTCATGGTTAGACGATAGATGAAGATGTTTATCTTTTGTTGTCGTTTAGCAATACAGAAATACGAGGAGGCGTTAGGGAAGTGTTGAACAATAAAATTTTTTCACTGAAGAAAATTAAATAACTGTCTAATATTGAGTTTGCGTTGGATAATATAACAGGAAGGAACGTGAATTATCGGTTGTCTGAAGCTGTCATTTTGTAGGTTAGTTTAACATACCGTGAAATGGTTTATAAAAAGGTCATAAAACCGTGTTTATTTGGTAGAGTTACAAAAGCATACTTACCGTTTTTTTTAATGGCGAAATTCATTCCTTTTACGTTTTGACGGTCATTTATTAATTTACTCGAGTTTTAAAAGCAATTACTATTTATTTATTTAAAATATATTAAAATGCGGTGAATACGGTTATAAATAAAATTTTAATGAATTAGTGGTCACCCAAAAATGTTATCTCGGCACTTCTATCAGTTAAGTTGGCTAATTGGTGGGTCTTTCTTAAAGGGTATAACAAACTCTTTTCTTGTAGAAGAAGATTGAATGTTTTGATATAAGTGTCAGTTTTCAAAGGTTGAAGACACAAAGAGCATTTTTCTAAATTGATTACAATAGTATCTTGTAAATTATAATAATGTATGATATATAATTTAAATTACAACTGTTTTTCTCCTTGCTTCACCTGTAATAAGTCATTTACAATCAAATTATTTCCACACGCAGTCCATTTAACTTCAGATCTTATTGGTCACGCTGTGATTAAATCACTTGAGAAGTATAACATTTTGTACACAAAGTAATACTAGTATATGAAAGATCAGAGATAAATGAAGATTATTTACTTTGCTTTTTACATGCATTTTATGCAACATTTTCTCTGTAACTGTAATAATTAAGATTTAATTAAAATAAAACGACTATATTATGAAAGATTAGAGTTTGATGAAGGTCATTTACTTTGCTTTCTACATGCATTTCATGCAACATTTTCTCTGTAACTGTAATAATTAAGTTTTTAAAATTAAAGATTACTATTAGCTATAGTAATTATCCACAAATAGTTATGTGTTAATAGTTGTTTAAAATATGTTATTTTGATTTCTTCTGTTTCATAAATTTATTCTTTTTTTTATATTATAGATTTTCAAAATTTTAAATTGGATTAAAATTTAAAACTCATTGAATATTTCATTTATAAAATTATTGACAGTAGTGACTGTATTTGAAAAAGTATGGATTTTGTGACAAAACATTTTTTATTTATTATTTCATAGTCGTTTACAAGGATAATGCTTAATATTTTTAATAGAAACACTTCTGTCCATGACTGTAATTGTAAGTTTTGAGTTCTTTAACACCTTCATTATATCATATCTTAATGTAGATCTAGGCAACACTTTTTCCCACTAATTTTCAAGTTGAGCAGTTTATTTATGCTAGTGGCGCTTAAAATAATGAGAAAACACTATTTCGTTAAGATCAGGTTGTATACTTAGCTCAATTATAGGAAAAAAATGCTGATAGAAACCTTAAATAGTCCCTACATTCGAAATTCTTGGAGATTTAATTAACTACACGTGCGATCATTTACTCCCGGGTTTCCAGTGGGCGGTGATTTATTTGACAGTGACATTATTTCAAACTTTATATTGTCAAATCAGTGTATGCCTGTTAAACCACAAAGCAAAATCACAGTGATATTCGCCAGAAAATTACAGTGTAAAGTCTGCATGGGCTATTCATTTCTCACATTAATTTTGCATTCATGAAAAATGAGAACTGTCTATGGTCATTATATTTTTTAATTGATTCTAAATTAAATGGATTCTTTAGTTTAAAAACACTGTGTTCAATATTTTAGATACAAAAGCAACAATAATATCGTTGATAATTTTGAAAATGAAATTTAAAAATCTTCATGAAATAGAAATTGTAGGTTCCAAATTACTTGGCACTTGACAGGAGGTGACATATGATTTTTTCATGTGAACAAATACAAATCTTTTAATCAAAACATCTTATAAATCGTAAATAAAGAGTTCTGAATCGGTTAAATGTTTTTATAATTGTCACTCGCAGAAGAGATGTCGTAAAGACTGTTGAAAACTTTAAATGTTAGAAAGTGATTTTCACTGGTGTTAGATATTTCTCTTTCACGTGTTTACAAGAAGTTTAAATTTTGATTCGCCACAGTTTAAGCCGTTGAATTTTCAGGGAAAATGTTTGTCAACTAATGTAATGAGAATAATGTAGTTTTTTCTGAAATATAAAAAATATTCTAATAGAAGAAAAAAGAAGACATCTACATACGTCTATTCAACGAAACTACTGCAAATTTATTGTAAAGACAGTGAAAATACGTAAACCATAGTTAATAAATTAATAACAATCACATAAGTGCGCCGCAGATTGATGTACCTACTGCTATTGGTTGGTACAGCCCCAACAAATTTACTATCCCTTAATAATCAACTAGTGATTAAGTGTGAAAAGATTAGGCGATAGAACGACCGTAGACCCATAAATATATATAATACACACAGTCATTTGCTGCCATTAAACATCAAACGGCTGTTTTATTACATCATAAGATTCATAAGTATGTTGGCGTGCTTTCATTAAGTGACAAAAGTAGCCATGACGAACACATCGTACAATACCTTCCATAAAAAGACTTCTCCTTTTAACTTTATGACATAATTTATAAAAAACAACATCTTCTTGGCAAACATTATCAAAAAACGCGCTTTCCTCTTCGTCCCAGCATGGGCGTTCTCTTCCGCCAACATTCCACCTAATTGCCTTCACCTTCATGACCAAACACACGCCATTATGATAATGTACCCATTGTTAGAACAAAATTAGAACGCGATGATTTACTTGATGAGGTGACCCTAAAACATGTTCTCTAGAGACCGAAGAAATCACATTAATATGTAACCGGAGAAGAAATTCTTCCAGTGTCAAGTTCTCAAGAAGCGAAGAAAGCTGATTTCATGTATATGGTCATAAGTGACACTTTGCTGTTTCTTGGAACTTGTTGCCTTGTGACTATGCGGCTTGTTTCAAATAAATAGAATGTGTTTGGTGGAATTTGCGTTGTTTGTTTGGAATGGCGTTGTGTCACGATTTGATAACGGGTCAGTGCAGAACCTCTTAATTTGTGCGAGCAATAAAGCTTGTAGGTATTTAATTCAATGGGTCAACGGTTCACTGTTTATGGGTCCTTTTACTTTACAATAACCACCTACAGAGACTCGGCGGTGTTTGTACGGTTAGGAATTCACCATTTCTGATTTGAAAACGAGTGATCTTGCGGTATTCTGGTTGGAGGATAGTGTTTAAGTTCGTCGATGAGATCATGTAGAGTGTGTTTCCTAGAACTAGAACATTTGTATGTCACTATACAAACATCGCACGTTGATCTCGGAAGTCCTAATTTTCCTCAAAATGTCATTCTTACATGTTTTCACGTTTTTATTTACGTTAAAGTTGAGTGCTTTAAAACGTTTTCAAAGTTAATGTGTTATTTATTCTGTATCTGTGTCACTGTACGTCAACTGTGTCGTCAAGTGATTGTTCTATTTATTTATTTATTTATTTATTTTGTTAAAGTGTTTAATTTAGTATTTACGTCAATATAATTGTTTTTGTTAAAAGATACACTGGTTCCGTTTCCGTGCATCTTAAAACATTCATGTTGATATTTTATTGTTTTTTTCTTATGTTAATTAAAATGAAAACTTATTGATTATATTACAGGTAGTATCAGTTGATTCATATATAACTTTTTGAGACATTCTGTGCAGTCAGTTTTAAAACACTACCAACAGATGGGCAGACGACAGACCAAGATAAACAAGAGATACGTATTTTCGTTTTTTAGAAACTTTAAAAAACCAGGACTTACACGTTAGTATTGTAATTAATTCCAAAGGGACTATCTGTCTACATTTCCTATAATAACATTTTTAATTATTCATTTATGAAAACGTTCTTTCTGAGCAATGGCAATTTTGCAAAATGTAAATAATCGCAACCCTGTTTTACAAAGGAGAAAAAAATGTAACGGTAAAGGAAGTTACATTAGGGACTGAGAAATGAAACTTTGTTATTTTCTTGCGAAAATGGCACTAAACTACAAAAATAAAATTTTCTTAAAAGTTGCTCTTAAGTGGAAGGACTATACCTTTTATGAACTTCGAATTAGGAAAATCAATTAGGAAATTATTAGGATCAACATAATTTAGGCACTGCGTATTTATTATTTAGGTTTTATCTGAACTGGGGCGTCTATAATATACTTATCTAAATTAATTTTGTTACAAATTATATCAACAATTTTGGCATCTTCCCGAAGAGAAACAGTTTAATGTTAGAGCAAATCCTGTTTTTTTCCTTTCGTGAACCGCCGATGAAATTTGACTCTATGTTTATAGGTGTTGCGGGAGTGTGAAACGTGTTTGTATGAATCTAGTGCACGGAATGATCAGGAAGAAGTATAGTTGTCAACTTCTGTGGTGATAGAA